AAGCCAGTGGCAGGGCCAGGGATCCATTGCACCTCGCAGGCTGCTGGGGAGCTAAGAGGGGAGGGCCCCTGCGGGCTGTGGATCCATTTGTTAGTCAGTATTGTTATTATTAAGGAGGGACAGTCTCAGAGCAGAGCCCCCCGCGCACCAGGGGCGGGACAAACCCAGACAAGGGTTTGATTCGGGGACTGGAGCGCATGACCTACGAGGAGAGGCTGAGGGACTTGGGTCTGTTTAGTCTGCAGAAGAGAAGAGTGAGGGGGGAGTTGAGAGCAGCCTTCAATTTCCTGAAAGGAGGTTCCAAAGAGGCTGGAGAGAGGCTGTTCTCAGTAGTGACAGATGGCAGAACAAGGAGCAATGGTCTCAAGTTGTGGTGGGAGAGGTCCAGGTTGGATATTAGGAAAAACTATTTCACTAGGAGACTGGTGAAGCACTGGAATGGGTTCCCTAGGGAAGTAGTGGAGTCTCCATCCCTAGAGGTGTTCGGGCTGATTTAGTTGGGATTGGTCCTGCCTAGAGCAGGAGGCTGGACTTGATGACCTTCTGAGGTCTCTTCCAGCTCTATGATTCTAGGACAAGAATTGGCTTCATTCCCCACTGCCCTTACCGACTGATTTCTATCGGCCGCACAGTCAGCCCTGAGCATTCAGAAAGCCGAAGCCAGCCCAGCCCCCACGGTCCGCTCCGTAAAAAACCTGGCATGGCTTTGAACGTCATGAGAATGGTTTTAAACGTTGGGTTTTAGCAGCGGTGGCTTTTGCGTTCCCTCCAGGTCCAACCTCTGCAGGCAAAAGGCCTGGAAACTTGTTCATTTTGGGGAGGCCTCTCTCTTCCCCCCACCCCAGGCAGCTGAATTTATCTTGAGTCCAGCAGCTGGAACTTCCGGACCAACACCGAGCCTCACAAGACTCACGATCACATGGCAAGAGTCGGCCACGCTGCACCCGCAGTTAGGTGAGCGGCGTGAGAACTCAGATTGGCCTCTGAGGTTCAGTTTGCGGGGGACAAGATGCTTGTGTAAGAAATGGGGCGACCATCCCTTTGAAAAGTCCCCTTCAACATATGGGGTCTGACCTACTGACGCCCCTCTACTGCCCAATGCACCAGACCGTCCTACCTTTCTCCGGCAGAGGAAACAGAGGAAAAAGGGAGAGGAAAGCTGATTTTTTGCCATGTTTTAAATCTCACAGTGATTGGCAGAGCGAGGATCTCTCAGATCCCTTATCCACAGGCCAGCACTTCTTTCTAACACTACTGCCAGCTCACACATGTGGAAAAAAGTCTCAGAGGGGGAGGTCACATGTGTGTCTGTAACTTTAAAAACGAGTCGTCCGGTGGCACCTTATAGACTAACAAGTAGATATTGATAGTATTGTGAGCTTACGTGGGTAAACGCACTTCCTCAGATGAGTGGAGTGGGGAGAAAAGAGGGGACTAGGTTGTAATAGTGTATTAACCGATAAGGAAAAGCATATTGGTTAATGCTATAGACTACTCGCATTCCCTCACCCCATACCAAGTAAATTGTTTAGCAGACTGGCCAGCAGCCCAGCTCAGTCCTGGCTGCACCAGGCCCGGGACTTATCCCCGCTGCAGCTCTGCATTAGGGTACGTGTAGTCTACATGCCTCTGGCGACAGAGGCATGTAGATTAGGCTACCCGGCATAGGAAAATGAAGCGGCGATTTAAATAATCGCCGCTTCATGTAAATTTAAATGGCTGCCGCGCTGAGCCGACAAACAGCTGATCAGCAGTTTGTCAGAAGATTGGGGCAGTCCGGACGCGCCGCAGTCGACAAGGAAGCCTTTGTCCATCAGCGCAGGTAAACCTGGTTTCACGAGGCATACCTGCGCCGATCGACAAAGGCTTCCTTGTTGACCGCGGCATGTCCAGACTGCCCCGATCTGCCGACAAACAGCTGATCAGCAGAGCAGCCAACAGCTGCTCGGCTCAGCACGGCAGCCATTTAAATGTAAATGAAGCGGCGATTATTTAAATCGCCGCTTCATTTTCCTATGCCGGGTAGCCTAATCTACATGCCTCTGTCGCCAGAGGCATGTAGTCTAGACGTACCCTTAAAGTGTATTGGGGGCCAAGAGGGCAGGTAGCATGGCTCAGTTCTGGCTCATGCTGGGGGTGAGAGCTTAAACGCCCCCCCAGCAGGGGTTGCTGCCACACTGCATTGCTGCCTCTGTATCAGAGGCAGCAGATACAGAGGCAACAGCACGGAGTGACAGGGGGATCCTTGGGAGTGTGGCCAGAGCACACTGGCTGCTGGTCCCACCCCCAGGGACTACAGAATAGTCGAGTAGCCGGTACAAATTCATGAGGTTAATCAACTATTGAATGAATGGATATTTAACATCCCTTGGGGGGGGGGGGACCCTCACAATTTATAACAGAAAAAGACAGGAGGGGGGGGGGAAAAAAGGCGCCTGAGGCTAATTGAGTGGGCGGGATGTGTCTTATACTTTGCTTTTGATGTCACCTGGCGAAGTGTCCGTGGTTTCCCAGCAATGTTAAGCCAGAAGTTTTTACATGCAGTACCAAGCATGGGGCGGGGGTGACCACCTGCCGGAGAAATCCGGGTGTCCAGCGAGACCAGGAAAGGGTTTGTCTGGAATGGGGATGTGTCCTCCAAGGCCATGCTGTTGCTCCCATAACGCTCCTGTCTGCAAAGGAGACAGGGAGGATTATGTTTCGCTGCCCTCCCGCAGAGTGGGGGATGTCGGTGCGATTTGCCTGCTGCGGGCTTCTTCTGAGATTCAAGAGCGCAGACACTCCGCAAGGGCAGCAGACTTTGGCCTTGGAGCTGGGACGAGGGTCTTGGCCCGACAAGCGCCCTTGCTCGTGCGTTCCGGCTGAGATTTCCAGCTCAGGCGTCAGGTCAGAGTGGAGCCCGAACACGCATCCCAGTCCTGGTTTGGCTAGCTTGAAAACACATCAAGACGTCACTGGAGAGACCCCCCCCGCCACCGTGTTCGCTCACCTGCAGCCTCTTGGCCCGCTCAGCACTGCCGGCTGAGCCAGGACCCGTTACTCGTTAACTATGTCCTGTTCAGTTCACGTCGGAGGAGCCAGGCTCCTCACACGCTGGCCCCGAAGTGCGTCAGAGCCATGGGTCACCGGCACGCTCCGTAGCAGCGCTTTTGGCTGTTAACTCCTCCGTGGCAAGCCGGTGTCCCCGGAGAAACCTGCGTGACGGGGAACCCAGAGCTGCCGACTCCCTGCTGGCGCTGGGGTTACACAGGGACAAGTTTCCTAACGTTCCCTGGGGATTCTCCAAAGCCCATCAGACCCCCCGGCTCAAGGGACTAGATTCCCTTCCTTGTCAGCCAGAGCTGTCCCAGCTGCTTTAGCAACCTCATTTCAGCTCCCCGTGGGCCCCCTGCGCCGTGGGGCTCCCCCACACGGTTGTCCTGGGAATTTTGCTGTCTGCCCAAGGGACGCCCGGATCTGGCAGAGCAGGAGATGCTGGAAGAAGCCAGGTGCATTGTGGGACATGCTAAGAGACCGTCTCCTCACCTGCCGTGTTCCAACGGGATGGGCTAGAGACTTGTGATAGGGGGACTCTCAAGGAGGAAGCTCCCCCACACTTCCAGAGCCCCAGACGCCAGGTCCCGGCCAGGGGTTCGTGTCCCACAGGTTCAAGGATGCTGGCAGGAAGTTGCCACTTTCACACCATGATTCAGT